ATCTTCTGTGTTATTCACTAAAGAATTTCATGAAGTGAATTTATCCTTCTCATTATTTGTCATAGAAACAAACTAACTCTGGGGCATTCTAATGAATATTGACGTCTGAAACTTAAAAATGCATGTCACTTCGAAAAAACCTATTGTCCTCCAGTCACCGAAGTTAAGCAGTGTTGAGCTCTGTTAGTAATCGGCTGAGAGCAACAGTTATTGTCGGTTATTAATGTGTCAGTAGTTCCCCGGTAGGAAGCTCTCCGCATACACACATGGACCGAGTTCGACTTCCAGACGACTCACTCCCAAACCTCAGCTAGCTAACTGGTCGGTAGTAAGCCTGGAAGGCAGCTGTTGATGAAGGCATCTGTCAGGAAGGCAGCTGTACCAGATGTCATCCCTCCTGAAGCACTGAAGACGGTCCCAGAGATTATGGTAGATATTCTCACTCCATTACTGCGAAAAGTTTAGGAAGAAGGAAAGGTGCCTACTGATTGGAAGAATGGCTACCTCGTCAAACTTCCAAAGAAGGGCGACTTAGGACTGTGAAAGAACTCGCGTGAAATAATGCCCTCTTCCATATTGGCTTATTATACGTCAAAAGGAGTGGATGCATCTGCACCAGCCATTAAGAACAATGAGTTTGAGCCATATCACCAATTGTCTCCAGCCGCCAGCGGTTCTCACCATCCCGACAACCCCGAATACGGAAAGTCAGTCTACACCTCTTTACATGACTGGCTGGCTTAAAATAACTGTTGTGGATTTCATTGACTGATGAAGTCATGTTTTGGACTGACCATCACTAGCACACTCTTTTCCAACCTGATCCATCCTATGTCAGTCAGGTGATACTGCCCATCGAGGAAGGCAATCGACAGCTAGACACATACAACATATGTCCTAAACATCTCAGTCAATGTGACTTCACAACGTAGGCGATTGATTTCGCCTCCTTACTTAGCACTTGACCGAAGGCTAACCTCAATATTGCTTACTTTATTATACCACCACCTAAAACGGGAGATAGAACGCAGGCACCTATGGTCGGAGACAGCTAGTCGGCATTTTCATGTCTTTCGCTTTCAATGGGCATATCTCAAAGCCACAAAGGAGAGAGAAGCGGAATGATGAACAGTATACACCGACTGCCGACCGAATATCACGTCTACTAAGCCAGAGATGGCGTAAGTTGGCAAATGCTGAACGAACCTTCTGTATCCTTGGTTGGGATTTCGTTAGCGATCAACCCGTAGGTTTCACAGTACTATACAGCGTAATGATGAGAATATTTGTGTAAGATGGAATCAGTAGCTTCATTGAACGATGGTCGGAATCTTTTCCCGCTCATCCGGATCACACGCAGCAAGGGCCATGATGTCAGAGAGACAGTTTGCAAGACAGATGGTCGGCAAACTAACAACCTGCAAAGTCTCCTGAAACACAAGGCTTTTTGAGAGATATATGAAGCAGCTGACAACGCCCGTGCTCAATATTCTAAGTGATAGTGCCTCATGCGAAGGTAATAAGATCCCACTTAAAGAAGCTGGGAAGTAAAAGAAGCTTCAATGTAGACAACAGCCATAAGTCATTCGTGTTCTTTTTAAAGCTGTTGATAAAACTCTAGTTAGGGAACTGGTTGTATTGTTTAAAAAATTAGCAGAGATTTAGAGGAATCCATCACAGAGTGAATGAAAGGACTGTTATGTCTATCATTTAGTAACAGCCAACTCAATGCATGTGAAAATCATCGGTGTATTAGTCTATAAACAGCCGCATCAAAATTACTAGCTACTGTCATCCTTCGCCGACTTATTAAAAAGTAAGCAAAATCAAATCTCAGAGAACAAGGTCAATTCCTTCGTTCAGGTTGTAGATACGTTGATCAAATGTCTACCGTTCGTCAATTGTTAAAACACTGGGCGTACTGCAAACTAAAATCCGTTCTTTCTTGATATTACACCTGCCTTTTATTCGTTACATAGGGAGACTCCCTATGAACATTTGTGCAAAACCATTCCAACTAGGATGAGGGAACGCAATTACTTATCACCACTAGTCTCAGCTAGTGGTAAGGTTAGACACGGCTGTCCAGTCTCTCCATTTAATTTCAACTGTATCCACCATGACATTTGAAGATAATTCTCAAGGAAGTGTAAGATGGTGTACACTCGCTACACGGATAAAGACTATTTCATCTGAAGTATGCTGACGACATCATCTTACTATGTGATAACTTACATGCTATACATGTCGAACTTAATTGGTGATTAGCGTCAGTGTGTATGGTATGTACTATTCACAGTCCAAGCATAAATTACTATTTCAAGACTGGAAGCAGTCTGTGTCTATGCTTTTTCTCGAAGGTTAAGAGGGATTTCGGAAGTTCATGCGTCTAGGTAGTGTTGTCAAAGGTGACAGGAAACTGTTTCTCATCATAAAGCAAATGTTACAGTGGTATACACCAACCTAGATCACTATTAACACCCTCGCAATGTCATTTGGACAATCATAAGTTAGGCTTATGACACTTTTGTGTCCACAGTCCACCTCTACGCTAGTGAAACCAGGCCTCGCCAAGTTGACGATGCGTATCAGCTCTCTATGTGTGTGATGTTAGCCATCACCATAGGATTGCTTGCATCCAGTGGTAACAACAACTGCTTGGATAGGAAAGAGATATTTCATATGGTAGTCACCTTGGTGCCCAAAGTGTACCAACTTTGTGCTCTTAGGGAGCAATCTGCTTAGCTATTTTTGTCCCCGTCCGTTTCCGTCTGCTTTTAATGTACCATCATGCTTCAGTGTACTGAAACCTGTTTTTTACAGCCACTAGTTAGTTCTACAGAGCTGCTGAAGTATATCGGTCCCTTTTGACGGTTTTCTGAGGATCACAAATATCCAGCAACGTTTTTACGACACACTATAGATTACTGAAGAATTCTCCTTCACTAGTAAGTAATTTAGCTACAGGAGGAGGCTACAGAAGAAGATACAACGTAGCACACAATCCCTCTTAGTTCACACAGAAGTATTTAACCAAACAGTGCAAATTGAATTGTCAGCCTTATTTCCAGATAAGCAGTGGGGCTTCATACAATAAGACTAATCGCCATATCTACACCTTCAAGGTGCTAAAACCTGTCTGTCGTCTCCTGGGATATTTAGGATGTAAAATATACAAACTCTCCTTCCTTATCATGTGCAGTCAATTGGACGATTACCCTATGGTGATTGATATATGTCTCACAAACTAATGGGATCTGTTGACTGATCTGACCATTATAGATGACCTTAAAGGCTGAGTTAACATCAATCTTATGGTTCATCTCGATTAGATGTTTAGCTATAGACGAAGTTGGTAGTCTGACACCTGCATCTATTGGTTTTCCACAATTCATTTGTTTTTCTAACCATTTCGGGATATGCTATCCCACCCTTACATGAAAAGCACAGTTACTCCTCCCTATGTATGTATGTCCACACACACACACACGAAAATTGGTAAACAGTGGGGGATGTAACTTAATCACTTGTGCACTTTTGAGGTTTGCAGTGGAGAATATTTTTGGCTTTTTCGATAACTACAAGCCGGGCTGCATAATAGGTTCTACGGATGACCGAATTGAACGTTTGTCTCAAAATCCTACTGTTTATTTCCCCGTTATATGGTAATTTGATGGAAACAATTTTCTTAGGAGCGGTATAGATTGTAGGTTTAAAGACTAATTGACTTCTACACCTGTTTAAAAATCTTAAAGGATGTACGTTTTCAGCAAAACTATCCATCAATATTTCATTTTCTTTGTCTATAACATTAGTCGTACAAATACGCTAAATCCTCTTAAATAGACACTTCACCAAGGCTTCTATAGGAGATATGTAGATGATATCATTTTGATGTGTGACGATCACGAAGATGCGAGTCGTCTATTAGATAGACGCAATCATTGGAACATGTCACAATACGGACGCTTCGATGATATCTGAGAATTAATTTGAAGTGGTCTGGTGAATGCTAACTATCAGTGGAATCCAAGAAGCCCATTTCACCCCCCCTATTCCTGACTCACCAGTTGATTGTACTTGCATTATTAAGTGAGTGAGTGATTGTCTTCCCGTTGAGACACAAACTCAGTACAGTATCCTTCGTTTCATCGACTGAACCACTAGTCACACTATCATGATACCCTCATTATTCTTATTGCCGCCGGCATCAGTCGTTTGTACTCATGTTATCATTTACCTTTATTATTACTATTACTATAATTATTATTATTGCTATTATTATTTTTATTATTATTATTACTAGTATTATTATAATTACTATTATCATTTTTATTACTATTATTATTACTAATATTACTATTATTACTATTATTATTATTACTGTTATTATTTTTATTATTATTACTATCGTTATTATTATTTTCATTATGATTATTATTATTATTTTTATTATTATTGTCATCAACAGCATTACTGGCGTCTTCGAAGCATTTAAAATTTATTCATTCTTAACCGAGTTCTAGTGGGAAATTGTGACCAGGAGGAGGCCATCATGTCGGGTATGAGGACAAATACTCGCTAATGACACTGTTGGCGATCGATCGCCCTACAATCCCCTCAGTGATCGGAGTTAGAATTAGCACATCGTCACTGAATTCCGGGAAAAAGAAATGGTACCATGGTCAACATACTTGGTCTTGTACTCCCGAAAGGCGTCATAAATGCATATTGATGCAGAGTCGCAAGCGAGGACGAAGCACCTATCAATTTCTCCCTGGTTCTGAAAGCTATGCACATTAAAGCAAAGTTAGAAGATTTAATTGGGAACAGTGTTGTTCGCTTACATGTCTTCTTTGAATTTTAACAGAGAGATGAATCTGTTTAATCTCATTACTTTTGCCTATTCACAAACGCGAAACAAATCTTTAGACAGACCAATACGAAATCAGAAGTGATTTTTTTTGGAAAAAAAAACAGGACTCTGTTCAATCAGGGTGATTTTTTTATACATTTGTCAGTAGATTCAGAATTGACAATGGCAAGGTTTTATCACTAAAAACATTTTGTTTACTTACAAACAATAAAGTAGTTAGTAGTTTTGCCCTTAAAAAAACAAACCACGCATAACCAACTGCATGCAAAATATGTTCAAATTCCAGTAAAGAATACAGTCTTAAAAACAGGTGCACCAGTCCAGCTGGAGCCAACAGGCTGACCATTAACTACAAGAAGATCTGGAAGTGGAATACGTATAAGACGAATGTGGAGATCGGCTGTACTATTTGATGAAAGATGAGAAGGAGGCACTGAAGTGAAATCAGATTCTTTCATATTATCACTTTCAGTGGTGGTGTCAGTGTCTTTGTTAAGATTTGCTAGTTTATTGATTATATCCTCAGACAGATATTTACTATCTAACTTTGATAAAGCAGTTATACATGAATGCAGGATAAAGCCTTCAATGAATATCTCTTCAACAAACGGATTCGGTATAACGATGATATCTTTACGAATTGGTCCTTTACCCTGTAAAAAATAAAAGAGGAAAATATGGTAAGATAAAGATAACAATAGAATATGACATGGAAGTCAATATATTCTTACTATTATTACTTATTCCTTGAGTTTGGAGTGCATCACAAGACTTTAACAGCATATCATGGTTCTCTGGTGTGTCCACTTCCGAATCGGACTCAACCAACATTCTACTAAAACTCTTTTTTAAACTAAGTATCCGATAAATCTAGCAAAGATGCCAGTGACATGCAGTGGCATCTTATAACAACCGAAGGAAGTATCCAGGTATCGGTAAAGGACGTGTGTACTGGACAGCAGCAATTCGCTCCGCCCTCCTTTATAGCTGTGAGACAAGGACATTGAAAGTGGAAGAGGCAAAAAAGGCCGGCTAGCTATCATTGACCATAGATGTCTGTCTGAGTTCTCTCTCTCCCATATCAGGTGGTATAATAAGGTGAGCAGTAATTAGGTTGGGGGTCGAATGCTAGGTACGGGGGGGCGGGGAAATCGATCGACGAGGTTGTGAAGTAGCTGCATCGACTGCGATGGATAGGACACGTGTTGTGCATATACCCAGTTATCATTGCCCATCGAGGAAGGCGGTCGACGGCTAGGCACGCATAACATATGTCCTACACATCTCAATCGATGTGACTTTAAAGCCTCGTCTATTGATTGACTCATGCAGGTCGTCGAGATGCTAAAGACTAATTACTGGAAACTATTGGTGGCGGGTGATATGCTTCTAAATAGTTCTCAGTGGTACAGATACATTTGGCCAATCAACCATCATGTTTTTTCTACATCACTATTCTTTCTCTCTTACATTTCTCTTTTAACTGTGGTTCTTTTGAATCTATTTATTCTGACTTTATGTGGTATATGGAGTGTAACAAATTGAACAGTTACTTACGCATAAGTATATCAATATGTTCATACAACTTCCTAACAAGCTTCATCGTACATACATGGAGAAAACAGAGCTGATGAAGATTCCTGGCCATCAGCAACAACAACAACAACGGACAACAGTCAGCCAACAAAAATGGGAGAAATCTGAAAGAAGCAACCTCCTTTACCTACCTACCTACCTACCTGGGAAGCATCGTTTAAAATACAGGCGGATGGGACTGACGAGGATCTCAAAGCAAGGATCGGGAGAGCAAGACAAGCTTTCATTACTCTCAAGTCTGTGTGGAAATCAACACCCAGCACTCAGCATGAAAAATAAGATCCGGATTTTTAACTCCAATGTGAAGTCAGTCAGTGCTACTTTATGGATCAGAAACTTGGCGCATCATGAACAGCTCACTTCGCACAATATTCAAGATCAGATGGCCAGAAAAGATCAGCAACATGGATCCCAGACAGCAAACCAACCAGGAACAAATTGTGCAACAAATATGCAGGAAGAAATGGAGGTGGATTAGCCATACAATTCTCAGCCTGGCTATTGAATTCCATCCCAATGACAGAATGGTATACGCGAGCTGACCTTGCAATCTGCATGTTCTGGGTTAAAAACACCACCCCGGTGGGTGAGGCTATGGGTAAGTGCTGCTGATGAAGAGTGGCGAACAAGCACGAAAAAGCTGTTCAATACTTCCTGGTTTTCAACGGTTCTCTAACTGTAGTGAGAGTTTGCAATCAATTTTGAAGTAACTACAGTATTTCCAGTGACTGACGAATGACGAATGTCAACATTAGCGTGCATATTTATATATATCATATTACAAGTGTAATACAAGAAAGCTTTTTCTCTTAAGAACTAACCTTTCCAATATTGTACACTCGAACAGTGAAAGGCATACCATAAGCATCGACAAGGAGAAAATTTCTTGCCAAATCCGTGTCAGCAGGCAATTCAGCATAGACACGTCCAACACATACTGTATTCTTGTTCAACCCTATCTGTAGATACAATAATAATAATAATAGTAATATTCTATAGTTGGTTTGTAGGGATTAGTTTTGTTTTGAAGAGGTGATCATGGATTGATATCAGTTAGAGAACCATTGAAAACCAACCAGGGAGTACTGGACAGCTGTTTCATCCCAGTTTGAGAATCATAAGCAGTACTCACCTACACCATGGGGTTCGAACCAACGACCTTCCGGTTACAAGACAAGATGGCTCGTAAACCATTCAGCCACTGGGACCCGATCCATTGACCAGCCCATGAATCCTAACTTCTACCAACTCGTGACTTAGCGTAACCTCAACCAATGTCATTGGTGGGACATCCATCCTCACACTTGACTGGATGGATAACAGACTGCCCCGCCAACGACAATGGTTGGGGTCACGCTAAATCACGAGTCGGTAGAAGTAAGAACTCATGGGCTGGCCACTGAATCGGGTCCCAGTGGCTGAATGGTATACGATCTAGCTTGCCTTGTAACCGGAAGGTCCTGAGTTCGAACCCCATGGTGTGGGTGCGTACTGCCTATGATTCCCAGACTAGGATGAAACAGCTGTGCAGTACTCTCAGCTGGTTTTCAGTGGCTCTCTAACTGATGTCAATCCGTGATCAACTCGTCAAAATAATAATAATAACATTAATAATAGAATAAATAGCTTACTATCAAGAAAGAACACTGAATTCAGGAAACAAATTGAATACTAAAAGAGGAGAAAAATATTTTCCTCATCGGTGCATTTATTTCAAGGCATCAGGGTGACCAGTGTTGCACTGGGCACGTATTGAAGACCAAGACGTCTTTGATAGCTGGAATGCTGGCCAGCCAGAGAGCTGTTTCGCTTGCTAGTTTAGGGCCAAGCTCATCAGATGTGTACCCGGTATAAACTCAAACCAACTAAGTTCTGGCTGGTTACTTAGTTATCACAAGCAGATCATATGTCGTGTATGATGTGAATAATTTCAGTTTTCAAAGGAAAAACTGTGGTGCAAATCGCGAATTTGATTAAACATCCATTATTATTATTATTATTATTATTATTATTATTATTACTATTATTATTATTACTATTATCACTATTCCCTTGAGTTCCAAGTGGAGCATAGGGCTTCAACAACAAATCTTCACTTTCTCCTATTTTCTGCTGCCCTCTTCAACTGGCTAGCTCCGAGATTGTTCAGAATCTCTCATCTCCTCCTCCCCCCTACCATCTTCTCTATATCAGCCTTGCACCGATGACTCAAGCGTCGCTTCCCATTCAGATTCCATTGTGCACGATGTCATTCGACAGCCTCCTTAACGTATGCCTGATCCATCCATAACCATTCTCTCCAACATAGTTGTTGAGAAATTGGTTCTCGCCTGTTAATTTGTTCCTAGCCATAATTTCTTGCCGCTAATTTTTTCTGGCCAGCCAACAATTTGATCTTCAGTAAGGAGTCACCCAGTGAAGGTGGCAGCTGTCGATAAAAGTCTGCAGCAGTCTGTTCGAAATGCTTTTCGTGACACTCTGGCCAGGTTTCTCACCCATATAGAAGAAGAACTGATTAACTTCGTATTGATGTTGAAAATCCGAATATTGTTCTTTACGCTGGCTGAGTGAGAGCAGAAGATTTCCAAACTGGTTTCACGTCGGTGAAGATGTGCTGCCTTGCCTTTCCGATTCTGGCTGGATGACTTTGATATCTAAATCCGTGCCACCTGACTGTGGTTGAAACGATGCTTCCTAGCCAGATAAGAGAAGTCAGGAAGTGACCTCTTTCAAATCTCTCCCGTTGATGGTGATTGGTGCTGGTTGTTTGTTGTTGTTGCTGCTCGTTGGTTTGTCAGTTGGTTATCTTCATCACCTCCTTGCTTCTTTATGTTCACCTGGATGAGTTCTGTCTTCGCCGCCTGCCTGTCAGTGTGTTGGCTTTCGCTTGAAAGTCTTCGAGTCTGCGTGACATTAAAAATAAATCATCCAGATCTTCTAGAGTCTTACTGTCAGTGGTGCAGCGTATTCCTATCTTCGCACTCCCATGCACAGTTTGACGTATAATCCAGTCCACCACAATCAGGAATATCATTGATATTAGCAGTCGGTAGCCTTGTCTAACTCTCCTGTATCCACTTTGAACGCCTCGCTGAGTTTTTTTGTTGTGGATCACCTGACACATGGCATTGTCATATAGCTGTTGAATGGATTACGGTAATAAGAGTAGTACCACAGATATTCACTTTATATATTTCTATACCTGATTAACAACCAACATGGGTCAACTTCTGGCCGCCCATGAATAGAAATTAATGTCTACTGAATAGCCATGATAGTTTTGGTGAGCGAATGAAATCGCATTCATCAGCTCAGATTTCAATCCAGGATGGGTTTCGTCAGTTTGCGACTCATCATCATCTGGATGTACATGTATTCCAGTAAGTGGTGGTGTCCCTACTGATACCCAAAGTAAGCACATACCACTACAAGCGTTATGCATTAGATCACTGACCCACGACGACAATCTTTTGTGCACTGAAGTAACAGTTGTGATTGACCAACTTGATTGGCTTGACTGCCATTGCAATCACTTGGCTCCCCGTCAACATCCAGCCAGTCAGCCAACCAGCCTGTCAGAATTATGCATCAACCACCACCCACCCACTCAACCAAATCCGCCTACCACACACCACCAAACACACTCGCATCACACAAACTAACCAGTCAGACAGACACCCACCAACACACACACAGACACAAACAGACAGACAAGCAATCAAACAATCAACCGGAAGTCAAATCTCAGTCAATAAATCCAACGCTTCATCGCTCGCTCACCCACTCAATCTCTCCCTCTCTCTATCTCTCCCTCCTCCTCCCTCACTCAACAGAAACACAACCAGTCACAGATCAGTCAGAAAGCACTCAGTCGGATGGCACTGATCAACAGTTGACTACCACACCTCAATTCGAGTCAACAACACCAGGTCAGTCAATGTCAGTCAATGACATGGTTCTTAGTACAAACACACTTTTATGATACCTTCAAGCTGAATCGGTGTTAATTTGGTTAAACGCTGTCAACTGTCTTGGAAACCATGAATTGCTCATCACTATTATTCCGATGGATTCCCAGTGGAGCCTAGGGCTACAGTATGTTATCCTGTTCTGCACAATCGTCTTTAGCTCCTTTAGCTCCACAATTGCCAGTGAGCTCTTACCTCCTCCTCCTCTCCTAACACAACACTCTTCATACCACCCCTCCCAATCAGGTTCCTTTAAACGACCTACCACCCAGTGTATGTCTAATCCATCTCAATTATCTTCGGTAGGCGATACATGCTCAGTTCATCGTTAGCGTTCCTTGTTGCTAGGCTGGCTTAAAGTATCAAGCCAGAGAAGCCAGATGTTTTAATGAATGTCTGTAGTAGCTTGTTGGAAATACTTTTTCCAGATGCTTACGTCAAGTCTTTAAACCACTACAGAAGTACTGACTACCTTGACATCGGTGTTGAAAATTCGAGTCGTGCTCTTTATGCTGGTTGAGTACAGCAGATTTAAGTTTAGTGAATGAATGTCTGCAGTGCTTTTCCTATCATGACTACCTTTGACATCCTTATCTATGCTGCCTGTAGTTGAAATGACTCTGCCTAGATAATTGGGAAAGGTAGCCTCCTACAGATTGTTTCTTGTTATTTAATTGAATTCCTAGATTTTCCCGTCGATTGATTGGACCGAAGTGCTGAGTCTCAGGATGACATATCTGTCGGCTTCTTGTGCAGATGCTTCGACTATGTCCGGGCATGTAATTCGAATTTAATTGGTGGATGGTGACTAGCAGTGGTGGAATCCAGGATGCGCATTTCGTGGCCTAAGTGGTCTAGTGGATAACGCTTTGGCTGGCATTTGAAACTATAGCCACTGGGTTTGAGCCTCGCTGGGGGACATCATCACTCACTGTGGAATACAGCCACATCCAGATGACGAGTCCCAAATAGGACGAAGTGCACGTCATCCTGGATTATTCCACTGTTAGTCACCATCCACCAATTGAGTTTCTTGTTATTGTTGGTCAGTAGGTATCTTCTTCATTTCTGCCATCTCTATGTTCACTTGAATTCATGTCTTCGCTGCCTATCTCTTTTGCCAAGTTGTTGGTTTTCACCTGTAGATCTTTGACTTTGTGTAACATTAGAGACATAAATTACCCGCAAAGTTCTGATATTTTAAGGGCTTCTGTTGTCCGTCCAACGTTTCCTGTCTTCTTAGCTCCCTACATTATGTAGTCCACCACGATTGCGAATACTGTCAGTGACATTGAATGCGTAGCCTTATTTTAATCCCAGTAACAACACATACTGACCTTTAGACATCATCGACGCGTTCATACACAACGAGGTGACAGGTGTCAATAGAGATCGAGAGTTTACCATCCACTACGGAGTTTCAACTCCAATGTGAAGTCAGTGCTACTCACTGTGCGGATCAGAGACTTGGCGCGTCATAAAGCGCATCTCAAACAATCTACAGACCTTAATCAACAGCTGTCTTCGCTCAATACTCAAGATCAAATGGCCGGCCAGAAAAGATCAGCAACAAAGATCTCTGGGAGCGAACCAACACAGCAAGAACCGATTGTGAAACAAATAGGCAGGAAGAAATGGAGATGGATTGGCTGGCCATACTCTGAGGAAACCATCAAGCGAGTGACATCACTAGACAAGCCATTGGTCGAGTTGAACCCGGACGGGAAGCGGCGAGTTGGTCGTCAGTGCAAGGGTGACTTGGAGGAAGTCATGTGAAGAGGAGATGGAAGCGTGTGAGCAGACTTAGAGCCAGGTGAAGACTTTAGCAGAGAACCGAAAGCATTGGAGACGCACGGCTGAAGCCCTATCTTGCTCTAAGAATTAAAGGAAACAATAATAATAAATTCACGGAAATTATAAATTAAGAACTTCATACAACTGGTTCCCTTGATAAATTTCGATAAAGAAAGGAAGACGAAATTTGCAGTATAAAATGATATCATTCTATTTCACAGGTTCTCATCAGCTGCAGACTACCTGAAATTACAATGGTTATATAAATGATAATAACATACTTTAATGTTTGATTAGTAGTAGAGAAGAGATAAAATTGACGCATCCAAAAAAGAATGAAAGCATTACAATTTTTAGTTTAAGTTATCATCATCAATTTATACACTTTCAGAGTTGAAAAGAGGGGGGAGGGGTAAGACAGAAAACAGAAAAATTGATTAACAGAAACAGTGTTAGCTTGTAGGTTCACATGGCAACTCCAAAAAACAAAAGCATTTACAGTTTATAAGACTGAGATTTGCTCAGTGAGTTGAGATCACTGAATTAGATGACTCATCAAAATCAAAATTCAGTTACCAAAGGAGTGAGAGGTTAATCACACTCTCTTTCTGTATGCATAAGTCTGGTTTAAATCGTTTGATTGCGATCGCTTCGGCAAATCGTAGTAAATTTGCTGTCCTTTGTCTATTTAATATTTTGAAGGATTTAGAAATCTCTACGAGATGTCCGGTATCAACAATATGTCTGGTAATTGAACTCTGAGAATATTTACTTCCTTTTAGGCATAGGTTTCTTCGAATATGTTCAGAAAACCGGATAGAAGCCCTTCTTTCTGTCCTTCCAATGTACTTGCTCCCGCAAGTGCACGTAAATTCATAAACGCAGTTGGAGGTGAAATCAGCAGGGTATTTATCCAGTTTTCAGTGGATCATGGAAGGAGTGGTGTTGTATACTGTTATGAGTTTTGCTGCCGGGAAGCTTCTATTTATTGCTCCTTTCAGTCTTTTGTCAATCTTTTGTGAAACTGCATCTCCTTTGAATGGGAGACAAATAAAAACTTTTTTCTTTTCTACAGTTGGATGCTTTTCTTTCTTATCTTTTTCTCTGCTATACTTCTGTATAAATCCTTTAGGGTATCCGTTTTCCCTCAGGCATTTCTCGACGAAATCTAGTTCTTCTTCGACCTTGTTTGGTGAACATAGCTTCCTGGCTCTGTCGTACAAAGTCCTCACTAATCCACGTTTATAGCTTATGGGACAAAAGCTGTTATAGTGAAGATATTGTCCAGTCCAGGTTTCTTTTCTATAGATGGACTTTTCAATCATGCCTTCGTTTGTTCTTCTTACATTTAGATCCAGGAAATTGAACTCATTTTTATGTTCATATTCCATGGTGAACTTGATATTTGGATGAATCTCATTTAGGCGATCATATAATGCCGATGCGTGATCCATGTCGTTGCAAACAACAAATGTGTCATCAATGGAACAACCTACTATCGCCAATATGTTGATCAACATATGATATGATCTCCCATTCAAAGGAGATGCAGTTTCACAAAAGATTGACAAAAGACTGAAAGGAGCAATAAATAGAAGCTTCCCGGCAGCAAAACTCATAACAGTATACAACACCACTCCTTCCATGATCCACTGAAAACTGGATAAATACCCTGCTGATTTCACCTCCAACTGCGTTTATGAATTTACGTGCACTTGCGGGAGCAAGTACATTGGAAGGACAGAAAGAAGGGCTTCTATCCGGTTTTCTGAACATATTCGAAGAAACCTATGCCTAAAAGGAAGTAAATATTCTCAGAGTTCAATTACCAGACATATTGTTGATACCGGACATCTCGTAGAGATTTCTAAATCCTTCAAAATATTAAATAGACAAAGGACAGCAAATTTACTACGATTTGCCGAAGCGATCGCAATCAAACGATCTAAACCAGACTTATGCATACAGAAAGAGAGTGTGATTAACCTCTCACTCCTTTGGTAACTGAATTTTGATTTTGATGAGTCATCTAATTCAGTGATCTCAACTCACTGAGCAAATCTCAGTATTATAAACTGTAAATGCTTTTGTTTTTTGGAGTTGCCATGTGAACCTACAAGCTAACACTGTTTCTGTTAATCAATTTTTCTGTTTTCTGTCTTACCCCTCCCCCCTCTTTTCAACTCTGAAAGTGTATAAATTGATGATGATAACTTAAACTAAAAATTGTAATGCTTTCATTCTTTTTTGGATGCGTCAATTTTATCTCTTCTCTACTACTAATCAAACATTAAAGTATGTTATTATCATTTATATAACCATTGTAATTTCAGGTAGTCTGCAGCTGATGAGAACCTGTGAAATAGAATGATATCATTTTATACTGCAAATTTCGTCTTCCTTTCTTTATCGAAATATAAATTAAATTGAAAAATACATAATATGCATTTTAATAATAATAATAATACTAACAATAATCAAATCACCTGTAAATCTTTGAACAGACCAACGTGTATCTGACTGGTGTCAATTACAGAAGTTAACAGCCTAAGTTCATTAGAATTAGTCAAAGTATTACTCGAACTGTTGGCATGTTTCGCAGATTTTAATCGCTTCTTCTTCTTGTTGTTGCTGTTGTTGGTTTTGTCACTGCCTTTCTGTTTCATATTCGCCACCGAATTGTCATCATGCTGGTCAACCACACTGTTGTTGATCAGCGGACAACAAGGTCCCAATAAACGATTCAATGCAGTTTTATCTTTGATATCCAAGGTCAACTTATTATTATCATCATCATTATTCGGCGATGATTGGTTAGTCTGATTATCGCCGTTTTTGGCTGACCAATCAGAATTCTCCTTAGTGCTTACAGTTAATAGCTTAGTAAGCGGATTCAAGGGAACAATGAATTCATCGATTTCTTGTCGTTGTTGTTGTTGTTCTGGTGGTGGTTGCCGTTGGTCCGACGATTTCTTCTCCATAGAACAACTATCAGTGCAGGAATGAATTTCAGACAACTGTTGCATAAATGTCTTCCATTCTAGAATAAATTTAATGATACGTTTAATACAATTTTGTGGTGCAGGCCAGTCTGGATCCAAGCAAACAGCCTGAAGCCAACATGTCAGTGTTTTGCCAAACATATCCTAGATAAATAAAGGGGAATAAAGCAGTTGGATTTGTTTTTATTAAACTATAAAGAATACTTATAAATTTGTAAATATATTCAAATGTTATTATTATTACTACTATTAATACTTTTATTGAAACACAAACGACGACAAAAGCTCCGTAACTAAACCAACCAGCTCAGAGAACCCTACTGATTATACAAACTTGATACCTTATGAGAACCAAGGGATGTGTGACACAGAATATTGCACCATAGTTTTCGCGACAATTGGGATACCTACTGCCCGAATGCCTAGATCGAAACAGAAGTGGTGGTTTTAAAGGGTCAACTACCCCCACCCACACCTGAGTCTTTGACTTGAGGTTTAATTCACAAGGTAGTGTGGGCAACATTCTGGCAACCGAAATAAGTTCATACACGAGCCATTTGATCGTATTCGTATTCTGGAGCCCACATACACCCACAAATAGGTTTGTAATCAGGGTTTTCCAGCCCCCTTACTGACTGGACCAGCACTGTCTGTCTGTCTGTTTTCGACATAGAACTTTGCACATATGTACTGCACTTCAAGTCGCCACACTCCCTCCATGTAGCACGCAAAGCAAGAGAAGAAAGTAGAAGAAATGCATAATATAGACAGTAAACAGAGGTGTGAGACGAACAGTTTAGCTGGAAATCATAAGTCACAAGGAGTGGATGCATCTGCGCCAGCCATTGAGAACGATGAGTTTGAGCCATGTCACCCATTGTTTCCAACCATTGGTTTCTACCGTCCCGAGGACCCCAATCAACCAGGAAGTCTACACCTTCCTACGTGGCTTAGACTAACTGTTGTAGATTTCATTGACTGGTGCCATGTTCGCGTTTGACCGCCACTAGCTCTTTTCCAGCCTGACCCTATATCAGCTAACATTGCCCATTGTCGAGGAAGGCGATTACTAGGCATACGTAACACATGTCCTAACCATCTCAGTCGATGTAGCTTCACAGTTTCGTCGATTGATTTCCCCTCCAACCCACTTAGTACTCGACGCCTAACCTCAGTATTTCTCACCTTATTATACCACTTCACAAGGGCGATAGAACGCAGATACCTATGATCAAAGACAGCTAATCTTTTCATGTCTTCCGCTCTCAATGGCCAGGTCTCATAGCCATAAAGGAGGACGGAGCGGACTGATGAGCAGTACACACGCCCTTTGGTCGATAGTCGGATATCTGGACCAGCACGCATGTCTACCAGTCAGGTCGCAAGCGCCAAATGTTAGCTTTCGCGCTTTCACTTATGTGAGGAATACCCTGATTTTCAATGATTCTCTAAGTGAAAAGTCGATTTGTAGTCACTTGTGAAATCAAGTCATTATTATTACTATTATCACTATTGTTATTATTATTATTATCAATATTAAGTACTATTCTAAGTAGATCAGTTAAGTATGAGATATTGATAATAGGGCATAACTAATGTAAGGGTAGAATTTAGGAATAGCAATACTAACTGGAGGACGCTCGGAGGACAATTTGCTGGCTGACTGACTGGTTGGCTGGTTTCAACGTAGAACTCTGCTCAGATATGCAGCAGTTCGAGTTCCCACTCTCCCTCCACGTAGCACCCAAAGAAAGAGAAGAGAGTGAAGAGAGATTCCTCGAAAGACAGATAATAAACAGACATATGAGGTAAAAAGAATAGTAATATAGAAAGAAAAATAGAATTTAATTGGATGTGATAAATCACAAAGAGTGAATGCATCTGCATCAGCCATTTTCAACGACGATTTCAGGCCATATCACCAATTATCGCCAGTTGTCATTGGTTTTTACCATCCCGAGGACCCAACCAGTCAGTCAGGAAGTCTACACCTGCCTACGTGGCGGCTGGCTGGCTGGCTTAAACTAATTGTTATGGACTTCATCGACTGATGAAGCCATGTTTTGGTTTGACGACCAGTAGTAGTCATTTTCCAGCATGATCGTATGTCAGTCAGCTAACACTGCCTGTCGTGGAGGAAGGCTATCACTAGGATAGGTATGCATAACACATGTGCTAACCATCTGAATCGGTGTAACTTCACAGCGGACAGATTAATACACATTGATATGATTATGCTGAATAACCTGTACTCGGAATGCCATCCATAAATAGAAGGAAGCTTATAACCGATTCTATCGATGAATATAGCTTCGGATGATGAATTGAAGTTGACAGAAGAAGCAGTGAAGACAGAGGACTTCAAGAGAACATAGAATGAAGACAGAGGCGATGAAGATACCCATCGACCAACACACAAACAACAAGCACTAATCACTATTCAACGGGGAAAATCTGTATGGCGCCACCTGTTTCATTTACTCCTGAAGAGAATCATTTCAACTACAGGCGACACAGATAAGGCGTCAAAGCCTGCGAGGATCACATAATAATAATAATAATCTACTTAATTCCAAAAACAGTACTTATCATACAGAATGGAATTCTCAGCATTTGTCACAATATTGCATCTGATTTACTCAAAATATAAATAAAATTAAAACAAAATTAACCAGAGGAATTTGTTCACATTTACGGTATGAAGTCAAAAATATTCGAAGTACAAAATGAGAATATTAAATACAATAATAACAATAACAGTGAGTTTGTTTCAAACAATATTGTCAATTCAGTTTCAAAATTTTACCATGTTATAGAGTATTGAATCTAATGTTCTGCTGATATAGTATGGTGAGGGGAAATACAAAAATTAACAGTTATAACACAGCTTAAATGATGTTCACACTTGTGAAAAAATAAACAAAAACAAAAAGTTGAGGGGATTATAAGTATAAGAAATACAATAACAATAAAGTTTGATGCTGTAAGGGTGGAAGAAATGGATTATTTAGTAGTGCAAAGAAGGTTAGTTAGTTAATTCATGCCTGACACTATTTTCATCACATAAAGTACGTGCCAAATATGGTATAGTGGAATTTTTATACTCAGACGTACTTGCATAAAGTCTTCTGAAAAGACATCTTGTTTTACCTGAGGAGACACAAGGTTGGAGCTGCGGGTAAAGTGGGTGCTCACAGTCTGACAAAATTCCTTTAACAAATTTGTTGCATGAAATCAAGTGCCTGTCAATGACAGTGTCAACGGTATGGCCCTATCGGATATCTTCAGAGTTCTACGAAGTATGACATAGTCTTTTTTAAGCAATCCAGGAAAGAATAAGCAAGGGTGAACAGTAAAGAAGAATAGGTAAGATGCACGAGTTGACCAACTGTAATAGGAAGAGGAGTTGAATTATGCCTGAGGGCATTAACTTCTTAGTGTAAAACGTCAGACGAAATATTCTTTTAGAAATCGCCAAGATATGTGGGAAGACCAGGATAGGTCAGAAGAAAGAATTAATCCAAGATACTTAACTTCAGACTTGATTTCTATCTTCACTATCATCAATTCTGCAACGGTCATAGGAACCAACAGCTTCATCATTTAACTTTCTTTTACATCAGAAACTGAAATTAACAGTCTGACATTTGGAAGGAGTTAGTTTAAGACAGGCCATTAGACGAAGATCTACACTGAAGATTACATGGTAGGCTAAAAAGGACTAGCAAGCAACAAGGAAGTCTATCAGACAACGAACCGATCAAGAACCTATTGCTCAACAAATATGTAGTAGGATATATAGAGATGGATGGATCCGACGACAGATGATGAGGAGACCTTCGACTGAAATCACTCACCAACCAGGCAAACCGTTGAATGGAACCCGAATGGGAAACAATGAGCCAAGGCATCGTTTTGAGGATGACATGTGTGTAGGCGGTTGCGTGAAGAGGATAAAAGGTGATCAAAAGCATTATGGTCAGCTGTGTAGAGTCAGGGTAATCTGAGAGAGCAATCACACGCACGTATATATAAATCAAAAAAACTGTAAGATTTATAGAAACACTACTTTTTAAATTACCCGGTAATGCCAAGCTAAACCTCGATTATAATGAAAACTTGGTTCTAAGGCTGTTGAACGATCCTTAGCTGCTTGTGAATACGCCGCTAGACATCGATTCATAATAACTTGACATGAAGATGGTGATGATGATGTTGCTGTTGGCGTCGTCGTCGTCGTTGAAGTCTTTGTTACTGTTGATCCACTCATACTTTTATTATTATTATTACAACTGGTGTTATTATTATCAGTTTGTGATAGCGCTTGTTTATTTGATGATGATGATGACGCCTGCGACTGAGGCGTTGTCATGGAACCGAAATTTTTGAAAAACATAATCAATAATGCATTGCCAAGTACAGACCATGCAAAACCATTTGTCGGTTGATGACTAACCGCTGAATGTGCTAGATCTACAGATTGACTGAAGACAGAAGAAGATTCTGTAGTCGATTCAGCCTGCTTTGCTGCTGCTGTTGTTGCTGTTGATGTTCTTGCATTGTTAATATTAACAGGACGACTGGGAGGCGGAGGAGGAGGCAGTTGACGTAATACCATTGATAACTGGCAAAGAGCTTCTATGTGTTTAGGCTGTAAAACAGAAAAGTTAAAGCAAGACAGATAATATTAAATGTGAAGACATTGACTGCGTGAATCAAAGATACCAACTCTAAGCAGCATTATACATGTCCAAACCAAGTTCACTTTTAACAGTTTGACAAAAATTTGGGCATTGGGTATATGATATTCAGTATAATAAAGGTTTTTGTATTTCCCAATGAATGAAAAATAAAACGATCTTGTTTTTACTGACGTTTCGTTATTTAGTGCTGCTAATAGCTTTATCAAAGTATTGTTAAACAGGAATTTACAAAATCTCAGCATATATATGACAAACAGTTAGGGGGTGAGAAAATAGACTTAGGTCACGTTGAAGGTGACATATTGAAAGTCAAAATAACAATGAAGATCATTAAACTAAATAACACAGGTAATATTACATCTGTTATGATATCAGAATAAAGTTCACTAACTTGATCACCGTTTGTCAGTCTGGGGTCACTTTACGTTGTCAAGTTGGTCAGTTGGTAAAGATAACAAAACCAAGTGTGCATTGTTGGATTTGATCAGAGTGTAAAATTATAAAAGCAGTGTGTGTGTTTACATCGTGAACTTGCTTGTCACATTCATGTTGACTTAGTCACTTCATAGGGGAGGGAGGTGTTGTAACCAGGTCAGATTCTGTTTTAGTCCATCATTCCTATTCAGGCAATTTGGATTCCACTTGATATGAAGTGCTTCCAATGATGCGAGACGTTCTTTGTGATTTTTGAAATTTTTCTGGATTATTTCAATATTGTCAAAATCAATTTTGTGGCCTGTAGAGCACCACCTATGGCTGATGATTTTTCAAGTTTTTCCAGTTGAATTGGATTTCTCGGTGGTCGAACAGATGCTCTACGGTGTTCATTTCTTCTGATTTCGATTTGTCGTGATGTTTGTCTGATGTATATCGCATCACATTCCAAGCATTTTATTTTACAGACACAATTAGATTGAGAATCTTTAGGGATTTGGTCTTTTATATGGACAAGGTTGCTTGAAGTGTGTCCGATGTTTTGAAGAAAACTCTAATGTCGAGCTGATTGAGTACTCTTCTGATATCGTTTGACGTCTCTGTTCTATATGGAATGACGACTGTTGAGGTCCATATTTTCGGAATGCGTTTTTGGCCATACTTAATGTCTGTGTTGATTTTGTTGATGAAGTTCGTTGGGTAGTTGTTTTGCTTGAGAGTTTCAGTAATGTTTGATATTTCTTCTTCTCTTTCTTTCTCGTCGGTTATCAGAGTGTGCTCGTCTAAGAAGACTTGAAACAACTGAAATGTTTGCGCTGATGGGGTATGATGATTTGAAGTCTAAATATTTATTAGAGTGGGTTTTCTTCCTGAATATGGATATACTAAACTGTCCGTTTTCCTTTCTCTTAACTAGGCAGTCTAGAAATGGTAGTTCACGGACGTCTGATTCTGCCTGCTTCCGGAGTGAACTGGATTCTAGGAGATACACATTTTATTTTCTCCAGGAATGAATTGTGTAGATCTCGTTTTAGTACTACAAAAGTATTATCTACATATGTTAACCATATTTTAGGAGTGAGTATTCTTGAAAAAGTTACTACAAATATTAAACAACTGCCATCCAGCCACAAAGTTTGCTCATGAAATTGGAAACGAATCTAAAATTCCTTTTCTTGATGTTGAACTTACAAGGAGAGCTGTTAAAATTTTAAGAAGGTCCATCCATAGAAAATCCACATGGAACGGCCAGCTGACAAGCTTCTACAGCTGGGTACCAATGAGTCGAAAATGAAACCTAATTAGATCACTTGCTACCCGCGTTCGACGCATCTGCAGGTCTGATACCCTGGAAGAAGAAATACACTTCCTGAAAGTAATCTTCGTAGACAAAAACAACAAACAGAAAATCCAAATTCATGTATAATCCTCATCCAGGCATTAATGAAAAAAAACGTAGATCAGCGAAGAGTCTCTTTTCAGCGAATTCATTTTCTTAGCTGTACAATCGCAAATATATATGTGTTATTTTGTATGCATGTGTACAATAAGTTTGTCAAACAGAAATACAATTGGTTATAGTTATTTAAACTAAACAGGTGAAGGTTGGTAATTGGAGTTACGTAATACAAAATCAGTCAAGAAAATTAGGTGTTAGTGAAATTACGGTAGTAACAAAGAAAATGAGTTGTCACAAACTATTCATATTATTACATAACTTCTTTTAACAAATGCTTGTGACAACTCATTTTCTTTGTTACTACCGTAATTTCACTAACACCTAATTTTCTTGACTGATTTTGTATTACGTAACTCCAATTACCAATCTTCACCTGTTTAGTTTAAATAACTATAACCAATTGTATTTTCGTTTGACAAACTTATTGTACACATACATACAAAATAACACATATATATTTGCGATTGTACAGCTAAGAAAATGAATTCGTCGAAAAGAGACTCTTCGCTGATCTACGTGTTTTGTTCTCATTAATGCTTGGATGGGGATTACACATGAATGGATAATTTCAATCTAATATCACACAAACTTGAAGACCTACAAGCGAAAATCAAAAACTGACTGAAGAAGCAGGAGGCAGCGAAGAAAGGACTCATTCAGGTGAACACAGAGAAAATAACCAACCGGTAACAACAACACAGCACCAATCACTAACAACGGAATAAATTTGAAATAGGCTACTTCCTTCACTTATCTCCTGCACAACATAGTTTTAACTACAGGCAGCTGGCACGGATGAAGATGTTGAAACCAGCCTACGCTAGAAAGTCAAAGAAGACATTCATCACTCTACAGTCAGTTTGGAAATCTTCTGCTCTACAACTCAGCCAAAACAGCAAGATACGGATTTCCAACAGTGTGAAGTGTGAAATCACTTCTTCTATGTGAGTCAAAAACTTGGCCAGCGTGTCACGAAAAGCATTTCTAAAAATCAGCTGTAGACTTTGATCAACAGCTGCCCCCTTTATCGGGTCTATATTAAATATTTGAAAGAGGCTACTTCATTCACTTATCTAGGGAGCATTGTCTCAACTACAGGAGGAACGGATGAGGATGTCAAATCGAGAATCGGGAAGGCCAGAAACACATTCATCAACCTGAAACCAATCTGGAAATCTTCCTCACTCAACATCAACAACAAAATGATTCGGATTTTCAATACAAACGTCAAGTCAGTCAGTTCTTCTATACGGATCAGAAACTTGGCAGGTCACAAAGAATATTTCCAACAGCCTGTTGCAGACCTTTATCAACAACTGTCTTCACTGGCTCTATACTGAAGATCAGATGGCCACCGGAAAGAATCACCAACAAGAAACTATGGGAACGAACAAAACAAGAACCAATCGCCCAACAAATATGCAGGAGAAAGTGGAGATGGATTGGACACTCGCTGAAGAGGCCACTGGGTGACATCGCGCGTCAGGCCCTCGAGTGGAACCCGAAAGGGAAGCGGCGAGTGGGTCGTCCAAGGGTGACATGGAGGAGATCGTGTGAACAGGAACTGAAACAGTATGGACCAATGTGGATGCGGGTGAAAAGTACAGCAGAAGACAGAAACAAGTGGAGACGTGCAGTTGAAGCCCTATGTTCCACTAGGAAAACAAGGAAACAATTATAATAATTATCATAATGTTAAAGATCAAATAGCCAGCCTGCCAGAAAGGATTAGCAAAATGAAACTATGGAAGCAAACCAACAGACGAGAACCGATTATTCAACAAAAATGTACAAGGAAATGGAGGTGGGTCTGACACACGCTGAGGAGACCATCAAATGACATCGTGCGGTAGACCATTTCTGGAGTGGAACCCAAATATTACATGACGAGATAGGTGAGATCCCCCCGAATGTGAAATCGTGGGTGAGGGAGGAGATGAGAAAATATATAAAGTCGTGGAGTCAGCTGAAGAGGACCGCAGAGAATATACGACAAAGTGGAGATGTGTTGTCAAGGCTCACCGTGTTCCACTTGGAATCCAAGGGAACAATAATAATAAATTGTATATATGGTGATACACTAGCAAAGGTACTTAGAAGGTGTTTTTTTGAACATCTTTCTAACTGATAAAAAACACCATTTGAAATGCCTCAATCGGTCTAGAGTTGATAACACTCCGACGTTTAAAAAGATGGCTACTGAGGTTCGAGACTCAGTGGGAACACAATCACTCACTAAACAATGCAGGTACACATCCAGCTGGTGAGTCCTGAATAGGAGGGCTAAATGCACATCTTGGATTCCACTGATAGTTAGCAATCCACCGAACAACTGTAAATGAATCCGCAGATACCATCGCAGAGTCCGTACCAGGGGTCAACCGAAATGTCAACACAGACCAGACGTCTCGGTCCAATCAATCAAAAAAGGGGAAATCTAAGTAGAATCAAAAGTGCTTGTATATGTTATGTCATCAAAAGGATTTCAAATAGGCTATAGCTGCTATTTTAACTCGATGCTAAAGATCAAATGGCCAGTCGGAAAGCCAGATAAGCAACAGAGAGCTCTGGAAGCCAGCGAACCAACCAACAAGCCATCCAGAAAGGAGTGGAGAAGGACTGGACATACACTAGAGATATCTCCCAGTGACACGATACACTCTCAGGCGAAAACTTAACGGGAAGCAAAAAGTTGGGCTTTCGAAGGTGACGAATAATAATAATAATAAAATGCACAGTAATTTCCTCATATTCTGGAACATACTTGCAGATAGAGATAGTAAGGAGAAAGGTGAGATAAACGTGGGGCGGGTTCAACTTGTCAGCATCCGAAATATACAAGAAACATTAAAACTAGTAGCGATGAAAAATTAACTATGATCAAATAAACACGAATATATGGGTGAAGTTTTGAAATATTCATATATATGCATATATATATATATATATATATATATATATATATAAACTCCCAATCGACAGCTGCCCAATGACCCGACGACATAAATTGCCTGGAATGAATGCTTCTGAAGGTTCTACCATGCAAGAATAATCGTTTGAATAGCGGTTTGACTAAAAGCAACTACAATCATAGTGCATGTCGTTTAACTTCAGTAGAGGGTCTAACGGAGAAGTCGTACTGCCGGTGAAAAGGGACATGACAGCAGGCATGCTACCACCACCTGCCAGCTCTAAACGAGGGGATTGCAAAAGCTCAACCTGAACAGTTATGCAATCCAATTCACCCTGCTGTGGTGTCAGTAGACGGTTGTAAGGACACTACATGAAGAGAACTGCAAAAGCCAAAAAAGAAAAATCTTCTATACACCGCTGCTCAAAAGAAAACTATGCTGACATTTTGTGAGTTTATAATACTTAAGCCAGCTTTAGCCTTCATTGTGCACAGAGTTTGTACGGAATGCATTTTGTACAGTCCCCTATTAATCAATCCTATAGAGTTTCCGTAAATTATTATCATTATAATTGTTTCCTTTAATTCCTAGAGGAACATAGGGCTTCAGCCGAATGTCTCCATTGCGTTCGGTTCTCTTCTAGAGTCTTCGCCTGGCTACAAGTCTGCCCACACGCTTTCATCTCTTCTTCACATGACCTCCTTCATGTCACTGTCGCACTGACGACCAACTCGCCGCTTTCCTTTCGGGTTCCACTCGAGCAATGGCTTGTCTAGTGATGTCACTCACTTGATGGTTTCCTCAGAGTATGGCCAATCCATCTCCATTTCTTCCTGCCTATTTCGGTTCCTGTTGGGTTAGTTCGATCCCAGAGATCTCTGTTGCTGATCTTTTCTGGCTGGCCATCTGATCTTGAGTAGTATTGAGCGAAGACAGCTAGCTGTTGATGAAGGTCTGTAGTTTGTTTGAGATGCTCTTTATGACACGCAGTGCAAGTCTCTGATCCGTATAGTAGCACTGACTGACTTCACATTGGAGTTGAAAATCCGGATCTTATTTTTCATGCTGAGTGCTGTTGACCTCCACACAGACTTGAGAGTAATGAAAGCTTGTCTTGCTTTTCCGATTCTTGCTTTGATATCCTCATCAGTTCAGTCCGCCTGTATTTGAAACGATGCTTCCCAGGTAGGTAAAAGAGGTTCTTTCTTTCTTTCTCATAATTTTCTGGAGAGGAGATTATTACCAGCAGCAAAGTAAACGTTTTTAAATGATGTGTACACTTAGACCACAGCATTCATCAACACATTAGGATGAGTAAATTATACAACCCCAACAATAAAACAGACAGCATTTTCGGTGATATCACACGTTTATCACTGGGAAGAAAAGGCAAACAGTTAATAACTCATTACATCTAGGTGTTGTTTTTTTTTTATTTAACACATTTTGCATCATATCATATAGATACAGAAAAAGAATTCTCTTTTGGTAGAAACAGTCTTTCAGCATTACATTCTTGTGATAGCTGTTCAATTTTAATTTTACTAATATTATGCAGGTGTATTAGAGGAAATGCAATGATAGAATGTTCGCCAGCCAGGCTAGAGATTTAGCGACCTACGAGATTCCCTGGCCAACTTGCCCCAAAACTTCACCTAATCGGTGATAGTAAGCTAAGAAAGAAAGGGGGTAAAGTTCTATAATAGAGTCCCAAGGGATGCGAACGCACGAGTGACCTTGAGCCGACCAATCAGGAAAAGTGACGATTTTTGCATAAAATTTTACGTATATTTACATATAAAACATTAAACAGGATATTTTTGTCTAATATGAGATAAAAATATCTCCTAATTATGCTGAGGGGTTTCAGTTTTTAAAGTGAACCCATTTCTATACATATATTCATCTAGATGACTGAAAATAACTTCGTTTTTGGATCCGTTGATAGCTCTGATTCTATTTTTCAGTCTTCCCCAGGAACCTTCGATTGAATTGGTATGAGTACCGGTCCTGGGGTCGACGAAGTCATCCGAATGTTTGACTCGATGATGTATATATCCCAGTTGCGATAATCGGTTGTATCCTGCCCATTCATCTGTGTGAATGGTGGTGCCTGGTAAGACGAGCCGCTGAATAATAGAGAGGAGTGTATCAGCACTCCTATCTGGAATCAGCTCGATAAATCCTTTGCGAATCTGGGTGTCATAAATTCCCAGAACCCAAACGTTATCTGCTCTGGCACGCCCCCGATTGTACTTCTTCTTGATAAGAACGGTTTCATCGATATGGACGACTACACCGACTCCTCCCAACACCTGAGTAATACTATTCATTTTCCAAGAGGCTAAATCTCGACAAAATTGAAACCACCGCACAGTAGATGTCAACGTATTAGCTGTTTGAGCCACAGTAGATCGCTCCCCGGAATTTAAAATCCAGTAGTGGGACAGAAACAGGATATTGGTCAAAGACAGTTTCAACTTTTCAAAGGAAGTTCCTAGAAGATAATTCACCGAGTGTCAATTACCAGTACGCACACTTATTCGCTTCCTACACTGTGTACATCTGAATACATATCCGTCAGTGACCTGGGGTATACGACTGGAGGTTCATGGAAGCACCACAACTGCATGTCCGAGTACGTTCTATCAATCCATTAGCTAAGCAGTACTGAAAAACGTGATCTGGATGGAATTTGCATCTGAACTCATGAACACGGCTCATTTTCGCGCTAGAATAATGGTAAGTTTCCTCAACCAACGACTGACAAGCGTTCAAGGTCATTTGAGCGTTCGTACTCCTGGGACTCTATTCTTGTACTTCGCCAGAAAGGGAAGGCCAGCAACTTTATCTTGTGGGGAAATAAATACCGCCGGTACGGAAACCTGAAACCCTATTTCCCACTACGAATGCAGGGGAGGAAAAAAAGGGTGTTTTTTTTATTTTTGATTTACAGCTTGATTCCACACCGCATTTTCAGTACAAGTATGGAATTTTCAGCATGGATATCGGTTGCCCAAATTCAGGCCGACCATAGATATCGGGTGTGCGCCGGCAGGGGATCGAACCCCGGACCATGTGCATGGTCGGCGAGAGTCCTAACCACTGTGCCACCGACGCAGTTTGACAAGACAACAAATGTGTATATTAATTTTGAGAATAAATATATAGGGGGGGGTGGGAAAGGCCATGAACATCATCACCATCATCAACAACAAGAACATCAATAATAAACTTACATCAATTTTTAACGCTTGACGAAAATGACTGGCAGCCTGTACAGGATCACCTTGTCGCCAACATGAATCACCTAATTCACACCAAGCATCAGTATGCTGGGGGTTGAATTTCAACGCCTTCGTCAACCATTGAATTGCTTGACAGGTTAAATCATTCTCCTCGGTATCGTGAAGATTTCCAGTATACATGTCTGAGTCAATTGCATTATAGGCCTAAATTCAAATGTACAATAAAAGAAACATTTTTTTTAAAACGTAAAAAGTAAAGGCTTCAGTTAGAGAGCCACTGAAAACCACCAAGCAGTAGTAATGGACAGTCGTTTCGTACTTGCTTGAGACTCTCCAGCAGTACACACCGATTTTCCCCACATCCAAGATCATACCTAGGACCCGCAGTCTGTCTGCCTGTCTGTTTTCGACGTAGAACTTTGCACATATGTGCCCCAGTTCAAGTCGCCACACTTCACTCAGCACACAAAGGAAGAGAAGAAAGTAGGAGAAATGCATAATACAGACAGTAAACAGAGGTGTGAGACAAAGGAACAGCAATAACGAAGAACAAAACAGTTTCATTGGAAATCATAAGTCAGAACGAGTGGATGCATCTGCACCAGCCATTGAAAACGATTTTGAGCCATGTCACCAATTGTTTCCAACCACTGATTTTTACCATCACGAGGACCCCAACCAGCTAGTTAGGAAGTCTACACCTTCCTACGTGGCTTAGACTAACTGTTGTAGATTTCATTGACTGGTGCCATGTTTTGGTTTGACCGCCGCTAGCTCTTTTCCAGCCTGACCCTATGTCAGCTAACATTGCCCGTCGAGGAAGGCGATGACTAGGCATTCGTAACACATGTCCTAACCATCTCAGTCGATGTAATTTCACAGTTTCGTCGATTGATTTCCCCTCCTTACCTAGCACTCGACGCCTAACCTCAGTATTGCTCACCTTATTATACCACTTCACACGGGAGATAAAAAGCAGACGCCTATGATCAAAAGACAGTTAGTCTTTTCATGTCTTCCGCTCTCAATGGCCAGGTCTCAGAGCCATAAAGGAGGACCCGCAGGTTATGAGGTGAGTTCGTTATCCATTTTAGCCAACGGGAAAAAATCCTCTACCCTTTGAATTCTAACATTCAACAATTTGCGATATATAGCCACCACTGCCAGCGAATGTCGTTGGTGAGTATTTATTCGTAAGACCAATTGATTTCTTGGAAACCAATGGTCACGAGTTCTCACTAGAGTCCCAAACTGGGACAGAGCATATATGAATGAATACAATTCAGACAGCAAATACAAGTTTTAGATATGATGGAGAAGATTTGTAGCTCAGGTGGATAATTTTGATGTGGTTGTGTTCTCTGAGCTGGATTGCGAAGCTCTCATCACCCTACTAGGCGACATCTTCAGCCCATACTTCAATTTGAAGTGAGTTTTTAGATTTCTCCACGAATTTATTAATCATCTCTCCTGGTGACCTTGGACGTCATTGATTGTTTTTGTGTTTCCACACCCCATACGCTACTTGAGTTGGAAGTGATTGTTTCCTTGACTTGGACTTTGACCCTTTGTGTGCGAGGTTTCTTTCTTATCGGTTGATAAATTTTGTCTATCTTGATGTGTCTATTGATTGATGATTCACTGGAATGATTTCTGAGATGTCCTTTATATATGGTAGGATGATATAAAGGACATCTCAGAAATCACTGCAAGACTCTTCAAACCTTTAGGAATTGATGTTGCACACAAACCAACAAAATCACTTCACTCACCTGGTTTTGTGTCAACCAAAAGACTCAACAACGAAAGAAGATAAAACCAGCATCATCTACAAAACAAATTGTAACAACTGCGAAAAACACTACATTGGCCAAAGTGGACGTCCCCTTCGTCTTCACATCCAAGAACATAAACTAGCAGTAAAAAGACATGACATCCAGGCCCTCACTCATATCACCTCACTGCATACAGACAACCACAGACATCAATTCAACTGGGACAACCAGTGTTCAAATATAAGACAGAGGCAACACCAGGAATGCTAGAGAATTTTTAGAAGGCTGCCTGGTATTTCAGTGAATCGACACATCCAGATAGACAAAATTTACCAATCAATAAGAAGGAAATCTCACACACAAAGGGTCAAACTTCAAGTCAAGGAAACAATCAGTTCCAATACAAGTAGCCTAGAAGGTGTGAAAACACACAAAAACAACCAAACATGACGTTGTTAAAGGTCACACACCAGGAGAGATGACTGATGGTGAACTCATGGAGAAATCTTAAAGCTTAATTCAACTCGAATTGAAATATGCACTGAAGATATTGCCTAGTAGGGCAATGAAAGCTTTGCAAATAAACTATCCAGCTCACAAAATACAATCACATCAAAAAAAGCAAATACAAGTTACACTTCCATCGTGTTAAGCAGCCAAACCCCATCACCAGAGGTGAACTAATATATTTCACTGGAAGACTGGATATTAGGAAGGTGTTGAGTTCAGGAATACGTTCAGTAATATGGCGTAAAACTCATTCTGTCACACTGTTCACCACAATTAAAAATTTGGAAGGCGCATAGCAATGCGTAGGCAAGGGTGACAACAGATCCTCGGTATTCCTGCACTGAAGTAGAAGACTTTGACCCTTTTGCAGTGACGCAAAGATGCTCCACACATGAAAGATATGGTTGCACGCCTACTTGTCTAAAGCAGTAATACACTTAGAAGTGGAGCACGCACTTTTTATCGATGCCTCTCCAATGATACTTTTGTAATTTCGCAACTGTATGAGAACTCCAAAAGAAAGATACAATGACGAAGGTATTAAGTTTTTTGGATCTGATGGTGAATTACGGTAAGTTGTGCGGGAATAGGACAGTGATCACACAGTGAAGACGATGACAAATAGTGTCATAGAATGTATTCCTTCCGAGTTACTTACTAGTCTGGAAAGTGTGACTATAAGGCTGAAACAATTTTCAGAGTTCCTAATAACGAAGAGTACTTCTCCCTCATCTATCAGGTACCAAACAAATTGCCAAAAACAACCGGGTACCACATACTCCAAACAGTGAAGGCTATTGTGATTCACCCAAAACAACCGGTGCTCTGTGTGCAGAAAAAACAAGTTCAACCAACCACTACTACTGCCCTGACCAGTCTATAAATTCATGAAATTGTATTATTCATGAAAAATTCCCATTCGGACATTCATAGACAGAAGACCAGTAGTTCAGCGAAGAGTCTCTTTTCGGCAAATTCACTTTCACAACTGTACAATCGCAAATATATATGGTTATTTTGTATGTGTGTGGATATTAAATTTGTCAAACAAAAATAAAATAAGTCAGTTCAGACTAATTGGATGTTGATAAAAGAGGATAGTAGCAAAAGTGATGAGTTGTCAAAGACGATTGTTAAAGAAGAATTATGTAATAGCGTGAACAGTTTGATGAAAGAGTTGTGCTCAGGGTGTACATGGAAACAAAATAACATACGGAATTACGCAAGAGTTTTAAGTAGTTCGAAAAATAAGCATACAAACAAAAGTTAAGTCAAATCAACAGAGTTGTTACCATGAGAGTAGAAGTGGTTGAATAATTTTCTTTTGTGTGCATAGTTCTGCTTCTTCCAACTGAATGGTTGGGGTTCTGCAATGCAAAGAAAACAGAAACGTATTGTCCTTGGTAGGTTGTTTTTCACTTTGTAGATTAATTTGAAGGAGGAGTTTCTGCAGCCACGCTGGATAGTGTCCTTTGACCCTTTTTGACAGGATGCGTGTTGAACGACCGATATACCTGGCTCCACACAGAAGTGGTCAGGTGCGGGACCTTGTCTTTTGGGCTTCTGCAGATCACCGGGCAACTGGAGAACACCACTCTCAATGTTGCCGCAAAGAAAGTTCTTCTTAAAGAAGTGGAAATTCTCTTCCTAAAGACATCACCTTTGAAGTCAAGGTCCATATAAAGTATCCTTTTTCGCACGGATGGAGTCTCTAGCTTTCGCATTTCCTGTCTGATGTTTTTGTCTATGAATCTTGGTGGATAACCGTTTTGTATGAAGATTTCTTTCAGGAAGTGTAGTTCTTCTTCCAGGGTATCAGAGCTGCAGATGGGTCGGACGCGAGTGGCAAGAGATCTAATTAGGTTTCTTTTTTCACTGATTGGCACCCAGCTGTAGAAGGTTGTCAGTCGGCCGTTCCATGTGGGTTTCCTATGGATGGACCTTCTTAAAGTTCTGTCAGCTGTCCTTGTAAGTTCACCATCAAGAGAGGGGATTTTAGATTCGGTTTCAATTTCAAGAATGAACTTTGTAGCTGAATGGCATTTGTTGAATATTTTTAGTAACTAATTGTATTATTATCTCTCCTCTCCGTTTCTCTTTTCCTTCTTCTTACATGATTTACCTCTTTCAGACGAAATCAACTTCGTTAAATATGCAGATGACCTGACTGTTTCGCTTCCCACTAAGTCGCAGTCAGACTGTTTCAAATTAAATAGCTTCCTGTCGGACATCAGTCAGTGGTCTAAACTAAATGGTCTCATGCTGAATCCCTCAAAATGCCAGACTACTGACTTCTCCTTTAGGCATAAACGAGATCTACAAACACTAGTAAGTTCTCATGAAGCCTGTTGCATTGAGGGGACTAAAATTGAAACTAAGTCTAATGCAAAATACCTCGGTCTAGTTCTATCTTCCGACCTTACTTGGACATCTCACATCCTAACGATTTCTAAGAAAGTGTTCTGTCTAACCTACTACATTAAGGAACTTAGACAATCTGGAATCACCCAGCCTCTACTTCCACAATTTGTCAACTCTTGTATCTTAACTATTCTACTTTACTGCTCCCGTTAGTCTTTCCTGGGCTACTGAAAAAGGACTATACCATCCTGAGAAGGATGTTGAAGGTAGTTAGTAGTAGGACTAGTGGTGTAAAACTCAGTCAGCTCGTCACTACATTAGTTGAAAGGAATCTGAATACATGCGAAAAATAGTCTAAAAGCATACACTCCGACCCCCAACACCCCCTCTATTCCCAACTCTCGCCTTGTATCTCATCAAGCAGAACCAGAAATTAGTATAAAATAATCTATGCTCGTACAACCAAGTACAGGAACTCAACGATACCATACTTGGCCCGTGTTCTAAGTGACAGAGACAATGTTAAGCGCGAAACCTATGAATTGCTTTGTTGTTAATAACATAATTTTAGGCTATTTTATTTCTCTCTCTTATTTTGCATTCTATAGTGAACTCCTTCTTAAACATACTTAGCTACATTGGCTTACTTTTTTGTACTTTACTCTATTCCTTCTTTTGTGTATCTACTGGTTCCGACTATATTATCACTATGAGTATTACAAAATTGTCCTGTCATTAACCATCATGTAATTATTAGTTTTTGTGGTTGTTGTTTTTTTGTTCGGCAATGTCAACTGACAATCATTGGTTGTGAACACCATTACCATCATCTCAAAATTTCGTATTATGCAGGATTACTCACACTACCACTACAAACACCGCATTAGACCTGACAATAAAAAAACAACCCTGAAATGTTATTTTATGATTGTTTAGAGTTGTTTCAACCAAATTAAGTGATCATCTTGGCGATAAACATTCTTAAATGTCATTACATAACTTCTTGTATGACTACAGCTTTACTGTCACCATGCACAATCATATCATAGCTTCCACTACCGAATACTGAGATATTACTTTATGTTGTTTATTTTCCTTTCTACTTCTTGGTATTTTTTTTCGCATTTTTTATTATTTTTGTGTTTGTTTTTTTTTGTTGCCTTTATATTTATTTTTTTGAAATACTCCTTTTAAATGTTTGATAAAATTAGATGCAAATATTGTAGATATGTGCTGAAAATTCCACACTGTACCACTAGTACTGTTTCTGGAATAAAGCAAATTATTATTATCACTATTATTATTATTTATTATTATTGATTCAATGTTATTTAAACAACATTAATGTTGTTCATAACACTAATTCAGTCACTATTATTTATATGCATGACTGTAGAACCTGATCAAGAAGACGTTATCGAAAGGGTGAATATTCTTTGTTCAGTAACCATTCTTTAGAGAGAAAAAAAACCAAAAATTTAATGGGCATTTTTTTTCAAATCATTTACAAAGAAAAAGGATGAACTCACTCTACCATATTGATAACAAAACTCTGCTTTTTGTAACGAAGATACTGATGATGTATGCGTGAATATTGATTCATATGCCTTTAGCATAGATATTGTCTGTTCAAATTTCAATTGAACTAATTCATTTTTCTTATTCATTAATTCACAGGATTCATTGATCATTGAACAGATTGTATCACTTTGCATCCATGATTCAAGCATTGAATCATTTAATACACCATATTTATCAGCCCATTGATTTAAATATTTCGTTTTAAATTCATATAAATTATGAACAGAGGCTTTAATTTGGTTTAAAATATCTTCATTATTAAAGGCATGATGATTTTGTTGAATCTGTTGTTGTTGTTCTTCCTGTTCTTGATGTACTTCTTGAAGTTGTATCATCTAAAAATTTGGAAAATCAAAGAAAAATGTAATTTTTGTTCAAGTTTTCAAGAGTTGTTCTTTTGTTTGTAAGCATTTGACTTTTGTTATTCAATTTTGACCACGGATTGATATCAGTTAAAGAACCACTGGGAACCAGCTATGGAGTACTAGACACGTGTCTGTTCTGTGCCGACTTCGGGCTCATCGACAGTGACCGCTCTTCAATTCTAACTTCTACTAATTCGTGATTTTAACACAACCACCAGCCGATGTCCCCGGCATGTATTTATCCTCACTCCCGACCGGATGGACACCACTGGTTACAACATCTCACTACAACTACAGACAACTTCGTCCAGTAGCCAGTCACTAGCAAGCATCAGCTTGCCTTGCAACCGGAAGCTCCTTTGAAGGAACCCCAGTGGTTGTGTCCTGCTGACCAGTTGCAAACTAGGACGAAACAGCTTCCCAGTACCCCTTGGTTTTTATTGGTTCGCTAACTCAAATTTGGCAATTAATAGCCGCCTTTCTTGGACTTATTAACTCTATGTATATGTATGGACTCCAGGTGAACATAGACAAGACGGATGTTATGAAAATGACCAAACAACAACAGCAGCAACATCCAGCGCCAATCACCATCAACAGGAGGGATTTCAAAGAGGTTACTTCATTCACTTATCTAGGAAGCATTGTCTCAACCACAGGCAGGTGGAACGGACGAGGATGTCAAATCGAGAATCGGGAAGGCGAGAAACACATTCATCAACCTGAAACCAATCTGGAAATCTTCGTCACTCACCATCAACAACAAAATTCGGATTTTCAATACAAACGTCAAGTCAGTCAGTTCTTCTATACGGATCAGAAACTTGGTGGGTCACAAAGAATATTTCCAACAGCCTGTTGGAGACCTTTATCAACAACTGTCTTCGCTCTATACTCAAGATCAGATGGCCACCGGAAAGAATCACCAACAAGAAATTATGGGAAGCAACGAAACAAGAAGCAATCTGCAAGAGAAAGTGGAGGTGGATTGGACACTCGCTGAGGAGGCCTCCGCTGGGTGACATCGCGTGTCAGGCCATAGCTCGAGTGGAACCCGAAAGGGAAGCGGCGAGTGGGACGTCAGTGCAAGGGTGACATGGAGGAGATCGTGTGAAGAAGAGGTGAAAGAGTATGGACTAACATGGATGCAAGTGAAAAGTACAACAGAAGACAGAAGCAAGTGGAGACGTCCAGTTGAAGCCCTATGTTCCACTAGGAACCCAAGGGAACAATAATTATAATAATATTTATGGGTTGTCCTACCTTTGCACTGAAACCGAAGCTTTAACCAAAAGCGTCTACATGGCACCCGAAGTCAATATTAGCTTGGCATATCGACTACATGTAGTCGATTTGCATGCAACACAGTAGCTGGAATCTGATATAATGGCCAGCTAATGAATTCTAACGTCTACTAATTCGTGATTTTACCGCTTCTATCAACCAATGGTCATTAGTGAGTATTTGTTCTCTACCCTGACCGGGTGAACTTCCATGTAGAGTAACGTACCCATCGGGTTTTGGACACAATTAGTCTGCATGGATCTGATTGGTTTCAAATTAGAAATAAATCTAATACTCACTCATGATTGACTAGAGAATGAAATTGCCTGGAATTTTAGCGGAAATTATCATGATCCAGTTGAGATTCATGAGATCTCAGATGCGAAATAATACTCGCCGATGATTGTTGTTGTTGTTGTTCCCTTGGGTTCCTAGTGGAACATAGGGCTTCAACTGGACGTCTCCACTTGCTTCTGTCTTCTGTTGTACTTTTCACTTGCATCCATGTTAGTCCATACTCTTTCACCTCTTCTTCACACGATCTCCTCCATGTCACCCTTGCACTGACGTCCCACTCGCCGCTTCCCTTTCGGGTTCCACTCGAGCTATGGCCTGACACGCGATGTCACCCAGCGGAGGCCTCCTCAGCGAGTGTCCAATCCACCTCCACTTTCTCTTGCAGATTGCTTCTTGTTTCGTTGCTTCCCATAATTTCTTGTTGGTGATTCTTTCCGGTGGCCATCTGATCTTGAGTATAGAGCGAAGACAATCGTTGATAAAGATGATATTGGCTGTTAATTGGTGTTGTATGTCGTGAATCGACAGAAGTTGGGATTTATAAACCAATGGATTGCCTAAAACCTAAAGGTCTTGAGTTCAATCCCCGGAGAAATGACGTGAGGAGTGCATGTTATTGGAAGAGTGTCAAAGACTAGGAAGAAATGACTGTCAAGTACTCCCTTGTTTTCAGTCATTCTCTTTACAGATGCCTCGATTACGGAGACGATTTATTTCTTATTATCCAAGTACCTGGATGACAACAACTTGAATATCGGAATACTGACGCCCAAGTTAAAAGAACTTCTACTTAGAGGCACTTTGAACGTTCAATTCACATTCAATGGCACTATTTATAGACAGCAAGATGGTGTGCTTATGAGATCACCTTTAGGCCCCTTACTTGCAGAGATTTTCATTGGCAAGTTTGGAAAATGGTCCGCTGAAACCGACAACTGACAAACTAGGACGAAACAGCTGTCCAGTACTCCCAGGTTTTCCAATGGTTCTCTGACTAATGTCACCTCATGATGAAAATCCTGTGACAACTCTCTCTGTACAAAATGTGCCTTGATGACGCTTTTATCATCTGTGACCAATAGCTGCCACCCAGCAGCCATCAAATTCACAACTGAAGTAGGTAGGTAGGTACTGAACAGTCAACCTCCTTTCTGAACAACATCTGACTAACACAGAAGACTGACGGGACTTTGAACAGATCAGTACATCGAAAGCCTACGTGGAACGGCCAGTTGACAAACTTTTCCAGTTGGGTACCCATCAATCGCAAGCGGAACCTGATAATATCTCTGGCGACTAGAATCCGTATAATCTGAAACGCCGAGTCGGTAGAAGAAAAAAGATCACTCTTTTGAGGAAGACACTACTTGAGAATGGCATTCCACCACGCTTTATAGATTAAAAACACACAAAACCGAAAATCAAAAAAAAACAACCAATCTCTGTGCCGAAGAAGATGGTATACATGAATGTGGAGTTCAAGGGCGACCTTCTGGCCAACATCCCTATAGGAAGAATATCTAACGCCCTGAAAAGAACATTCTCTCCTCTCTCGCATGCCGCCTGTTGTTCTTCAACAACTCCAAAGATAAACTATCGCATTTGACCACTTCTAAGTGTATCTACCAATTCACTTGCTCATGTGGAGTGAGCGAGATATATAGGTCTTTCGATACGTAAGAGTCAAGAAACATTATCCCGCTTGGTTACGAAGAGATAACAATGGATCAATAAGGAGTGCTTGAATTGAACATAGATTCAACACTGGTCATTCAATGTGTAAACAGAATTCATTCAAAATTATCTACGAAGTCAGCAGGAGCCTCCCGAAAACGGTAACCTTCAGCATACCTTGCAACGCCGAGGCCTTCGGGATCTGGATAGAACGCCCTGATTTATGTACACAGAAGAAACTTCTCCATCTTCTTCTTCTTCTTCTACCTTGGGGTATAATTCCAGGTTCGACTACTTTGTTCCTAATGCTATTTTTGAGTTTTTGTATGACATTTAAGTAACATTTTTTTCTTAACTAACCCTTTATTTACTCTTTCCACACTTATCGCCATGCTCTTTTATTAACATCCTATTTTTCTGGGTGTCTTTCATATTATTCAACCCTTGTCAATAATTACCAATCTTCACCCCCCCTGCATAGTTACAATTTGATTACCCACCACATTTTTGAAACATTTTGATGACGTAAACAATAACCCTGACTAATTTTTATTTTGTTTGACAATCCTAATGTACACAGGGGGAGAGAGAGAACAATTATATGTAAGCGAATGAATTCACCGCCGAAAAGAGACTCTTCGCTGAACTTTTTGTTCTTATATTCTCTAACTGATGTCACACCTCAAAGTTAACTGGTGGATGGTGAATACCAGTAGAATCCAGGATGTGCATTTCGTCATGTTTGGGACGATCCTAATCCTGGGATGTACCTGATCCACGTGAATACTACTTCTTATTTAACAGTACTGTAACAGCCTATCTGGAAAAGCACAACTTTCCGTCAAAATAATCCCCCTGTTTGGCATACAAAGCAGACAACAACAACAACAAAAAATAGAGAACCATGGACAAGAGAAAAGTGAAGAGTACTCAAATATAAACAATTTATTAGCAAAATATATATTTTTTTCGTTTTCTGTACAAAAATGCCTTTATCTTTATGATTTACCAAATTGTTTAATATGCTCAGCTGTTTGACTAGTCCACAACCGGAAAATCTCTTTACGTTTCTCTACAAGGCTGATAAACTCTTTCTCAATATGATAAAAGTGTAAACCACTTTGACCTGTAGTAGAAATGCTTTCATTAGGCATAGAACTAGGAGCTGTTGTCGTTGTTGCAGTTTTAAGATATTCTTCACAGAGAAATGCAGTCTCTAGCGAATTACGCAGTGTATTCATAGCTGATCGGATAACAATCTCGGCATTATCAAGTTTTTGAGTTAACATTGACCATTGAGATCTAACTTCTAAGAGGAGTTCATCAATTTCTTCATTATTATTATTAGCAATATCATTATAGGCTGATTGTAGTTGACCATATTCTACACTAAGATGTTCCATATTGATTAAAAGTGTTTGAAATTCTTTAAGTAATTGATTTATAAAACTAATTGTACAATCTAATTGTAATTGTAATGCGAATAATAATGGAAAGTCAATATTTCGATGAATTGGCGTTTTAACTGTTGTCGTCTCTGTAGAAGAAATATGATATAACTTTATAGGATAAAACATAGAATACCAGGTTACTGCTGTTGTGACACTACTACTACTACTGAATGCTAAACACCTCCGCCAAGAATACTTCCGATGAAACATTGAACAAAATATTTGTTTAAAATATCTGCCGAACATGATTTAAAGAAACTAAAAGAAAAACAAATGTGCAAGAAAAGATTGTATGGCAACAGACAACACATACATGTGTAAGTGTTTTTTTAAAGCTTTTAAAAAGTTATAGATATCGCCATATGAGTTTGTTTATTTGATATATCACACAGTCTGTGAGGCAGTATTATTGTTCACTGGATGACACAGTTTCGAACAAAATTCATTATTGTTCATAATCATATCATCAATTATGATCACACGACTTCGAAACTTGAATTAAATAGTTTTCTTTGTCCTCTCCTATTTGTCGTCGTTGTAGGGGTAGTAGAATTTTCCAGATATCCGACTGGACAGTTGTTGAATCATTCCTATTACACGTATTCTATTCATTTGACTCGATAAACAAAGCTTCTGTTGTCAGTCGCTCCCTCCACCCTGTAACATTAGATTTTAAAACTGTCATCCTATCTCATCCTATTGTGTGGTTGTGTGTAACTGCATGTAGTGTAGTGCTATAGCTGAATTGTTCTCTAGATTTCTCATCTTATTCGGGTCAACCAATTTAGATTTTGCTGCCAGGTTTTTATGTTTGGCTAGTCTGACTGACTGTCCCTGTTCTACTACTTTGACCCATGTATTTGACCTGACAATCATAGCAGGCGGGGTATTAGATAAACTAAATTGTTTTATTTTAAAGGCTCCACAGGATTGATACTTTAACTGACAAAGCTTGTTTCTAATTGAGTTTGTGGATGGCTTGAATGTCACTTTTATTCCTGCCTGCATTGTTGAGAATTCTCCGGCATAAGGTTCCTGAGGATCCTTCTTTCTATGGAAGTACTAGTGATGATTTAGATTCCTTACTGTTGGTTTTTTCATTATCCTGTACATGTTTGACATGCATGTCGTCATTAATATTATCACTATCACTACTATCATTATTTATTTTATTTTTACATTTCCGTATATATTTCCTGACTAATTTATCAGAGTAATTAAGTTTCAAAGCTTCTTTTATATTCCTCACTTCCTGTCTTAGATTTTCCGTGGTACTACTTAGTTTTTGTGCTCTGTCACTCAAACATTTCTGCAAATGGTGGAAACCTGATAAATTAGTCAGGAAATATATACGGAAATGTAAAAATAAAATAAATAATGATAGTAGTGATAGTGATAATATTAATGACGACATGCATGTCAAACATGTACAGGATAATGAAAAAACCAACAGTAAGGAATCTAAATCATCACTAGTACTTCCATACAAAGAAGGATCCTCAGGAACCTTATGCCGGAGAATTCTCAACAATGCAGGCAGGAATAAAAGTGACATTCAAGCCATCCACAAACTCAATTAGAAACAAGCTTTGTCAGTTAAAGTATCAATCCTGTGGAGCCTTTAAAATAAAACAATTTAGTTTATCTAATACCCCGCCTGCTATGATTGTCAGGTCAAATACATAGGTCAAAGTAGTAGAACAGGGACAGTCAGTCAGACTAGCCAAACATAAAAACCTGGCAGCAAAATCTAAATTGGTTGACCCGAATAAGATGAGAAATCTAGAGAACAATTCAGCTATAGCACTACACTACATGCAGTTACACACAACCACACAATAGGATGGGATAGGATGACAGTTTTAAAATCTAATGTCACAGGGTGGAGGGAGCGATTGACAACAGAAGCTTTGTTTATCGAATCAACTGCGAACCAATACGTGTAATAGGAACGATTCAACACCTGTCCACTCAGATATCTGGAAAATTCTACTACCCCTACAACGACGACAAATAGGAGAGGACAAAGAAAACAATAAAACTCAAGTTCTCAAGTCGTGTGATTATAATTGATGATATGATTATGAGCAATAATAAATTTTGTTCGAAACTGTGGCCTCCAGTGAACAATAATACTGTTTCACAGACTGTGTGATACATTTAATAAACAAACTAATATGGAATTACTTACCACCAGAGTGCCCAAGTTTTACACATACATAAATAGATATCACCGATTTATCCGACTAGCTAAATGTAGTGATACTGCTGCATAGTAGCTTAAGCGGTTATACTTCACATTTGAATATCAACTTGTAATTCAACTAGTCTGATAATGGACCAATCAAAATATTTCCTTCATGTTATATCAATGCTGGGGGGGAAACAAAACAAGATTAGGATTTTTCAGCACTAACGTCAACTCATTCAGTTATTTTACAGGGTTCAGAGAATTGGATCATTCAGGATCAGGAAAAGCCTACCCAACAGGCTAATATTATATACATGTGTATATACACATATATATTATTCCCTTATGTTCCAAGTGGAACACACGGCTTACACAACACATCTACACTTTATTCTGTTTCCTGCCGTCCTTTTCAGTTGGGTCCACGATTGATCGAACTCTCTCATCTCTTCCTCACACGATCTCCTCCATGTCACCCTCCCACAATCGACAAACTAATCACTTCCCATTGGGATTCCACTCGAGAGAAGGCCTGGCGTCCGATGTCATTCTAGGGCCTCCTCAATGTATGCTCGATCCATCTCCACTTCCTCCGACATATTTGTTGAAAGATCGGTACTATCCTGTTCGTTTGCTCCAATAGTTACTTCTTGAGACATTTCATGCATTTATTCCCCTTGATGAATTTAAATAAAGCAAGAACAACAGTGGTTTGTGCAGAATAATATGGTACCATCATTTATTTCGTCGGCTTCTCATCAGCTGCTTACAGCCTAAATAAATTGTGAGGTTTACGTACAGAAAAGTTTTAACATCCTTGCAAATTTTACATGTTGTCAGTTGACAGAAAGTTCCACAATTAGTGAAAAGTGCTCAGAAAATTGTGCTTATATAGTTTTTACACAGGCAGTTCAAGTCAAAATAAATGTATGCATACAATGGTAAAGGAGTTACGTAATAAAGACGAGAGGTGAGTACGATGATGAGTAACTAATAAATTTGGTAACGATGTACTGAGTTCAAATCACGTCATAGAAACAAGAGACAAGCAATATTACAGATTATAAAAAAGAGAGGTGAGGTTAAAGACAAAGATTACGTAATCAGAGTAGAGAATAAAGACATCCAGTTACCATGGTAAGGAAAGACTAATAACTGCTTCTTTCTGAACACATAAATCTGGTTTGAAGCGTTTGATAGAAATTGCTTCGGCAAACTTGAGGAGAATGGAGCTCCTTTGTCTATTGATAATTTTAAAGGATTTCTCGATTTCCACCTCATGACCCGTGTCGAGGAGATGCCTGGCGATGGCACTGTTTAAAAAATTTGTTCCCTTTAGACGTAAGCTTTTTGGTACATGTTCAGAAAATCGTAGATATGCCCTTCTTTCTGTCCTTCCAATGTAACTGCTCCCGCAGATACATGTAAATTTGTATATACAGTTGGAGTTCACATGAGAAGGATATCTATCGATTTTTGATTGCACCAAAGAGCAAGTTGTTCGATAGACGGGAACGAGCTTAGCTGCAGAGTAGGCTATAGCTAGTGATGTACTCAGCCTTCTGTTGATCATCGCTGTAATGTTTTCACCTTTATAATCAAGCTGAAAGTAGATTGGCTTTTCTTCCACTGTGATTTGTTTTACATTTTTGACTTCAGATCTTCCATACTTGTTGATGAACCTTTGAGGGTACCCATTGCTCTTCAATGTCTTTTCAAGAAACTCAGATTCTTCCTCTAATTTCTCTATAGAGCATATTCTTCTCGCTCTATAGTACAGAGTCTTGACTAGACCGCGTTTAAAGCTATTTGGACAAAAGCTATTGAAATGTAAGTATTGTCCTTTCCATGTAGGCTTTTGAAGACTACCGTCTTCTAGGCGTTCCATGGCAATGTCGAGGAAGTGAAACTTTCCGTCACTTTCATGTTCCATAGTAAACTCAATATTGCTGTGTGCATCATTGAATAATCCGAGTAAGTGTGAAGCATGACTTTCATTGTTGCACACTATAAATGTGTCATCAACATATCGACAGTAGGAATTTGTTTCGTCGATTGCATGCTTCAACTTTGTTCTTCCAAGGTTGGACATGAATATATCTGCTAAAACAGGGCTAAGTGGACTGCCCGTAGCTACACCACCTATTTGGCGGTAAAGAGTGTTGTCAAATAGGAATTGCACATCCATGGTACACATAAGGAGTAGGCGTTTGAATTCCGACTCTGGGAGTGGGAGAAGATCAGACTGCTGACAAATGATCTCAATAATTTCGTTGATTGGAATCATTGTTAACAAGGAGGTTACATCAAATGACACCATGAACTTATTTAAAACGTTCATGTGGTTCACACTTTCCGAGAAATGAAATGAGTCCTTCATAGTGTGCACGCCTAGCCGTTGACGAATAGGTTCCAACTTCTCCGCAAGCCAACGTGCCACCTTATGTTGGGGCGAGTTGATCATCGAAAGTATGGGTCTCAGGGGGACTTGTTTTTTGTGTATCTTCGGAAAGCCATACATGTGTGGCAAGCGGGACCCTCGGGGTTTCAAATCATTTTACGTATTGTTGTCAATCAGTTTCTTCTTTAGAAGATCTCTCAGTGCGTTTGTGATACTTTTTCGACTGCATCAGTCTTATCTTTCTGGCAATTGTCAACTTTGAACCTCAACGGATCATTTAACACAGCTTTCATCTTTGCAATGTAGTCCTCTTTTTGATGTGGTTGTGTTCTCTGAGCTGGATAGTTAATTTGCGAAGCTTTCATCACCCTACTGGGTGACATCTTCAGCGCATACTTCAATTTGAAGTGAGCTTTTAGATTTCTCCACGAGTTTATTAATCATCTCTCCCGGCGACCTTGGACGTGATTGGTTGTTTTTGTGTGTTTTCACACCTAGGTTACTTGTATTGTCACTCATTGTTTCTTTGACTTGAACTTTGACCCTTTGTGTGTGACTATTCTTTCTTATCGGTTGATAAATTTTGTCTATTTCGATGTGTCTATTGATTGATGATTCACTGGAATGCCAAGCTTCTAAAAATCCTCTAGCATTTTTGTTGTTTCC